AAGGCAAGAAAGAGGATTATCAGATCAGCCATGATTTTATTGAATGGTGCAGCAGACTCAGCCGGTTGAATCGCCTGCTTCTGCACCTTTGTTTTACGGTAATGGTCTTGTGGTCTTTAACCATAAGGGCAGCATGGTAGCTCAGTGGTTAGCACTGCTGCCTCACAACACCAGGGACCCGGGTTTGATTCCACCCTTGGGTGACTGTGTGGAGTTTGCACACTCTCCCCGTGTCTGCGTGGGTTTCCTCTGGGTGCTCCGGTTTCCTCCCACAGTCGAAAGATGTGCAGGCTAGGTGGATTGGCCATGCTAAATTGCCCATAGTGTTCATGGATGTGTCGATTAGGTGGGTTATAGGGGGATGGGTCGGTGTGGACTTGTTGGGCCGAATGGCCTGTAACCACACTGTAGGGATTCTATGATTCTATGATCATAATTCTGGGCTGACAATGTTTAACTGGGTGCATAATGGCTTTCTAAAAATGGTGTCAGCACAAGGGGTCCCAGGATATCATGACCGTGGCGAGTACTTCTGACTATGGCCAATTGGAGAATTGCGCTAACATCAATTGAGATGGATGTCATAGGGATACGGTAGGTATTTGATAGAGCCAGTGTGGGACAACTACGCAAGAAAACTCACTAGGACCCCTGGAGAGAAACTTAGTCTTAGCCAAAATATGGGATGATTTGTGCTCAATCTTACTTTATTTGCCTAAGTCTAAGTGGCATCCAGTTTTTTTGGATGGTTTATTACCATGAGATCTGACAGATTTTCTCACTGTATGTTACCAAACTCTCCTCTTAATTACCTACCGCATGTTATCTCTAACATTTGATTTCCACCCCACATTACCACGCACTATTCCCAAAACAACTCATCCCTTAGTGGATATCCCAGAATTCACCAGCATCCCTGGCAACCACACCATCTTTAAAAGACCATTATAACCTGGGCAATCATTGCCTTGCATGGGTCCTGACATTTGTCCCAGAAACGGCAGATAGAGAGAAATCGGTGCCCTGTTTTGCAGGCACAGACCTGGAAGTCCAGTTGGGTGGAGTGGTGAGGAGAGAGAACTTCCTCTTTCCCCAGGAACAGCCATGGAGGCCATGACACCAGACCACAACCACTTGGTCTCAGCCATCTGCAGGAATGCTGAACACTGTAGGAAGAACTTCAACGACCTTCTCCACTCTGCCAGGGTAAGTGCCATAATCTTCTTTCTGATACCTCACACTCTTTCGATTTCTGCTACGGTATCCACCTTCGACTGAGGGCCATGTTCTACCTCCCTCACTACTGCCTGTAACACTTTCCCCATTTGTTCTCACATACCCCATCCCCTGACCTCACTCATCTTGCATGCTCTCTGTGCTGCCTACTCATTCGCTCAGGACAACTCCCTACCTGTACCAAACATAGTGGTTGTATCCCATACTTTTATCTGCCCTAATACCTGCCTGTCTCTTTCCAGGGGGAAAACAGCTCAGAGTAAGACAGAAAGAGTTAAGGCAGGCAATGGTGTGTACCCTTCATTCAGATTCTCACTCCTTATGAGAAGAAGATCCTGACAGTATCCTGCAAATGGAATACAGATGTGCCACGAGGGCTGTTAGAGGTTGGTACATGTTAGATGCCTGTCCGTGGATGAAGAGTACATGTGGTTGGTGCCCATGGAGAATGCCCTGAGATGTTGGTGTCCAGTTCCCAACGTTGCAAGTTGAAGCCACTAAATGCTGGCTGTGGTTTCGTTGTTGAGCTTTTCTGGTGGTTCAGCTTGTTTGGTGACTTTGGTAGAATGGGAGAATTAATGAGGTGAGTTAGGCTGTTCACAAAGAGTTGAAAATCAATACTGACTGTCAATTGGCACCTAAGCGGTGCCAACTGAGAATCTCGCTACACCACACTTGTAGAAAGCATAAAAGATGGCACAAGTTCCTCTTAGTGTTGAGAATAGCTTCAGAGTGTTTGTCAGCCAATTCTGCCACTTATCTCGCCACAGCCCACATCACTTAGACTGCTATGAGACTCTTCCCTAAGAATTTTTCTCAGGTACTCTACTGCTCAATTTGGACTTTGCCTCCGTCAGAAATAGTTTGACACGGAAGTGCATGAGTAGAGTGCAAGGCTGCCCAATAGATTGGATGAGGGAGGCAGCCTCATGTAATTTTCACGCCTTTCTTTTCATATACCCAAAGGAACGAAAGTCAAGTTGCTGACCTTTCGGTGAGTTTGTCCAATTAAAACATATGCCAACAATGTCATGAAACAATTGACATTCACAGAGTGGTGAATTGGTCTGGGTATAGTGTGTCGTAAGATAGAGGGGAAATTGGGTGTGAGAGATAACATTGGGGTACATATATAAGAGGTGACTTTGGTAAGATGCAGCAAGGGAGTTTGCTAGTTCACCATGGTAGGAGCACTATACATTCCTTCAGAGCAACACAACTTCTTACCCTGTAGAAATGCTTTCATTTTTCATAACAGGTGACTCACTGTCATGTTTCAGAAACATCAGTGATGACAGGAACCCACAAACGAAGTGATAAATTCTGCAACAGGCATATTCGAAGCAGCCTCCCTCCCATAATGAGTATAGCCTTGCTGCTCAGGACTCTCAGACCAATGTTCTTTTTGCCAAATGCAAAAAGGCCACATGCACACAAAGTGTACCCCACTTCACAGGACATGAACTTACACAGATTGGCAAATTCAGGTTATCTTAATTGCCCTGACAACACACCAGCACGGGAAGACTCCACAGGACAATTGAAGGTTTTGTGAGAAATGTTTATTGTCACCACAGCTCTGAAAGCACAAGTCTTTGAAAATGCCACCATGTTTGGGTTTCTGTTGAGTAAAGAGCTAGGAAGATAAGAGGCAGGCACAGAGACCTCAGTCTCGCCTTATTACCTAGTCTATAACTGTCCAGGTTCAAACCCTGGAAGTATAAATGAACATGTAGGTCTCCAGACATTTTCCCAAGTTCTTTATGCTCAGATAATAGCCCACACAGAAACCAGAGGAAATTTGGCCCTTTTAAGCATCAAATTACTGTACAATAGCATATTAACCATTGAATTAATTAAAATGCAATTGTCCTTAATAGTGAACAGTCACATGACTCCAAAACGTGCATTTTTTGCCTTTTTGACAAGAATTGTTAAATTTTGCTTTAAACTTAATTTTGGATTATTCTTTAACATGACATGACAATGCAAGAGATCTGATACCACCGCATTTTGAAGACTGAAGGCAATAATATTAGAGAACAGACAAATGAACTTCTTTCTGAAATATTCAGTTTTGAATGGAATAAGTAGAACAGAAGTGTTGTCAGAAGATTGGAACTATTCATTAGTTCCTAGGAGAATTGATACTTGGATATAGAAGTATGTACCTACTGTGATCAAATCCAGTAAAGTCCCTATTGCAATAGGGTATTTGGTATCTAGTTATTCTTTCTGCATTCTGAAACTCCCCACATTTTCTAAACTTGATATCATTTACACTGTTTTTATTTTTCTTCTTAAAATTTTAAATTAGAAGTGTTACAGGGAACTCCAGGTCCGTTTGAGTGCAATAATTCAAATTGTATCAGGTAATGCTAACTAGCAGTATTGAATGATGATTCATTGTTTTGTAGCTGTTAGTGTAATTTATGCAATAATGCTAACATATTATTTTATCTTTTTGCAAATTTATTCATTTTTTACAATAGATTTTTCATGGGCAGGTTTAGCTACAAGAGCAAAATACATGAAACAGCAACAGGATTAGCGTAAAGCTGTATCTCTTTTAGCTTTTTAATACAGCCATTTTACTGCTTCTTCACTCCAACTGAATTTCACTTATCACAGATTAGATCATGATTTCTGATCAGGTTTCCATGGGAGTGGTCAAACCATTGGATTCACAATGATAATACCTCTTTCTTGCATGCATATATATTTGAAAAATCTTTGGAATACAACATATACAACTTACTTTCGAGCTCTAGTTTCATTTTGTAGAAATAAAAAAGACAAACAAAAAGAAAGTAAATATAAAATAAGGCACACCAGAAAACAAAGCATAAAATAATATCAATTTAACACAGTAGTTTCATATTGGAACAGACTGGGGTACAAACAAACACCTTTCATTTAATTTAACCCTTCGAAAAAAAAGGTTTTAGTGAAAGAATTGTGTTTGATCACACAAGTCCTCCAAAGTAATATGATGAAATAAAGAAATTTTTAAATTTGGAACACAATTCTAATAGTAAAATTAACACACATTTTACTCAGATTGGTTCAGTAGTAAAGATACCAAAACTTATAATTTTGTACTATCTTTAGAAACTCTCTCAAAATGTTACCATATAATTCGAAGAGTCAAAAAGGCAGACTGAAATAAATCAACCCAACACAATAAACTGAAAAACAGATGCATCATTTCTTCTACAAATTAGCAGGAATATTGAACAGTATTAGTTACTACTGAATTGCACAAAAAGGGACTAGGTAGAAAGGTTTTGAAATGTTTGTTTACATCTTGTTGGGGTTGTGGGGAAAAAGCAGAACTGAAGTCAAAGCTATGATACCCAGTTCTGATTTGTGTTCACTATTGATATAGCTCCCCATTGGGAGTGCACAATCAGAGAATTACTCCTGAGATTAAATTCTGAATTATCAAAAGTCCAGATAATAAGAAATATCGAGAACTAAAAATACAAGTGGCAGCCCTAACACATCAATTGGATTTTTAGAACTCAAACATGACATAACAATTATCTGAAGACAAACACCATTTTTCTTTAAAAAAAACAGACACACTCTAAGGATTGGTGACATTAACAATTGCCAATATTTCCAAACACTTGACATAAGTATACCGTGATGTAAGGCCATTTAATCCTCTTACTTCATTGTTACTAAAGTTAATTATAATAGGAATTTTATCCTGCTATTTGAGAAACCAAAAGCTTAACAAAAATAGGAGCCATACTCACTGATGGATGGCTTGTAAGAATTTGCGTTGATGTTTCCTCACTTTTGCGTGGTCTATCTTTTTAACTAATTTTGTGTTTTTATATATTAACCATGTTTCCCTGAGAACATTGGCAGCTGCATTTTTTACCTGTACACAAACAACTTAGAGTCAACTTACAAGCCAATTTGGCGCAACATGAATTTAAAATATAGACAAGACTCCAAAGCAAATTGGTGAAACATCATTCTTTAATCAAACGTTACTTTAATTCAAACAGCATCTGAATCAATGGTTTACAACAAGATCCAACACTAACAGGGAGGAGGAACTGTTTGATCCATTGGCAGCTCATGGGGAATCTAGAGCTTGGGTTCCCTCATGATGTAATGGTTTAACTCCTCAGCCTACAAGTAATATCAATGACTCCCCTCCTAGGACAGACAGACTTATCTTCTGGTCAGCAATACAGTGCTTGAGAAGAGGTCACAGGCCCGGGTGTGGATTGGGAGTGTACTGATTCTAGGTTGGGGGTGGCATGACAGAGGTGTTACTGGTGGAATACAAGGCCCTGGTTTGGGAAGATTTGAGGCCTGGAAGTTGGGCAAAATGGGCAGAAACTTTGATGGAAGTGTGGGATTGAAAGTCTTGGTGAGGTAAATTGAAGGCTTAGAGAGGATCATTTAGGTGTCGGGAGATGGTGAGGATATGGCTAATGATGGTGAGATGGTCAGTGGAGGCAGTTTGGGGCAGCTGCTGTTTGGGTTGTGAGTACAATAATCAATTGTACATAGCAATAGGAAGTAAAACAAAATATGGAAGGCAAAAATTATTGCAGTATAGCTTCAAGATAATATTCTCTTCAGCACTTTTTAGGCAGAATTTTACACTGGAATTCTAAATATGCAATCTTGCTGTTTTAAATTTATTGACTGGAATTTTAAGAAGTCCTCAGCTACAGATAAAGTAGTATATGCTGTAAAATGTAGCTTTGCTTCAAATGGACTAAAACCTATTTTTTATTTCCTGACAAGAATTTTCTGGTACTTGGCACATCATCATCATCATCCACAATATTTGTCCTTGCAGTCAGACTACCTGTATACCATTTAAATTGAGCAAAGACTTGAAGCATGGCAGAAATTGGTTCCACAATGTATCAGTGGAATTCTAATGCAGTTACTGTCAAAATAAAAACATCATTGAAGCCTAAACAATGATACTTTTAAATTGATTTTTTCCCCATTTAGAAAAGGATACTGTCTTGAATATCCAGGAAATATTCTATTAAAGAAAATACCATCACCCTGTCCTAATTTTATTTACATTTGAAAAAGATATACTTACTCGCTTAGACAGTTGTGTGTCCATCATAAAATTATGAACATGTTTTTCTGCTTTGGTAAGTTCCAGCTTCCTAGCAACTACAGCCACAACTAAAGCAGTGCAGCCAGCTCCCTGAGTGTGAAAAGAATGGAAAAATATTAATATTTTGAAACACTATGTTAGTTGAAAACTTCAATATTTGCAGGTTAGGATGGTTTTGATAGGTTGGAGCAGTCATAGAGTCACATGGAAACAGACCCTTTGGTCCAACTCGCTCATGCTGATCAGACGGCCCAATCTGATCTAATCCCATTTGCCAGCATTTAGCCCATATCCCTCTCAACTCTTCCCATTCAAGTACCCATCCAGGTGCCTTTTAAATGTTGTTATTGTACCCGCTTCCACCACCTCCTCTTGCAGCTCATTCCGTACACGCACCACCCTCTGCGTGAAAAAGTTACCCCCTGAGGTCCTTTTTTACATCTTTCCTCTCTCACCTTAAACCTATGCCCTCTAGTTTTGAACTCCACTACCCTAGGAAAAAGACCTCCTTTGTGTCTTTGCTCTCTCACAGATGGGATTGAATCCTGGTTGGGATGATAAGCACCTTCTCTGTTCAACAGGTAAAAACAGAGTAAATGGGGATTTTCGGCCTTTTATCCAGTAACTATGGGCTGAATTTTACAGGCTTATTGCAGGAGGGAAAAAAAGATTGGCAACATGCATAATACAGTCATGTGTCATCAGCAACAGGCTGGCCCGTACCACTCACAATTTGATGGGCAGTGGGGAAGGTTCAGGATGTGCCACTTAATTAAAGCCCAGTGAAGGGCCCTATCCCATCGTTGTTTTGATTTTAACAGGTGGCAGGACATGCCTGCACTATTGTGTAGCCCGGTAGTTGTAACCCTGGAAGTTGCAGATCGGTGAAATGGGGTGTCTCCTTCCTCCTATTCCTCCCCCCACCCACCAACTCAGTTGGTCCTCCTTGCACCTACCCTCTGCCTCATCCAAAGTAAAAAGCCATCACCCCCTTACCCACCACTTGGCAATCCCATCCTGAAGAGATCCCAGGCTTGGAGACATAGATTTTCCTTCTGGACCTCCAGCTACACTGGTAATGGCAACCAAACCAATTAGTGTCACTGCGTATTTGGAGCCTGCTATCGGCACGACACTCAGTCAAGCCTAGTACCATTGCTGGATCTCAGGCCTTGGGGAAATTATGGCATTGGTGTTTGCAAAATCACAGGGAGATGGGTAGGGTTGGCAGCGAGAGGAAGGAGGTGTCTCTTTGCTAACGCTCCCACTTCTCGATGCTGGGACCCTCAATCAGGCACTGAGAGTCTTTGAATGACAAAGTACTGGCAAGAAACCCTACACAGATTTGCTGGCCGTGCTGGCAGCCTGTTGAGTGTAACAAGGTCAGCCAGGTGAACCTCTTGGATATAAGTTCCCTGATCAGGGCTGTTAGCCTGGTCCAATCAGGGAGCGCTGGCTGACAGATAAGAACAGGAGTGTCAGACATTCTGACACTCTGAGAGCTGGCTCTGATGAAGCCGAACCAGTCTCAAGGACTGTTCACGTGTTAATAAAGGATGGCTTGGGGATGGGATACCGGTCTCTGTGGAGTTATTTCAATGGCGACAAGAGAAAAGCACACTCCTGAAGAAATTCGCTTGCAGCAGTCATTTTTGAGTCGGGGTAAGCATTTCTGGCATCATGACATTACTTGGGAAGTTTGGCCCGTTCAATCCTGCCATTGAAGACTGGGCCCAGTATGTGCAAAGAATGCATTTCTTTTCCAGGAAAATTACATTGCGGCAGACGAAAAGCAATGAGCAATTCTCCTAACAGCTTGTGGACCACAGCTTTTTTGATTATTAGGAGCCTAACATTACATGAGGCATCAATACTAAAGCCTTACAAGAATTTATGGATTTAGTTAAGGAATATTACAACCTCAAGCCTTGTGTAATTCTGACACATTATCGATTTTACAGCATAATTCAAGAACCGGGGGAATCTGTATCAGGATTTTTGATGAAGTTAAGATGACTGGTAAAGGCACGTGACTTTGGTTTAACCCTTAATGTGATGCTGAGAGACCATTTGGTATATGGGATTAATGATGTAACCATGCAAAAGCTCCTGCTGGCTGAGGCCCAGCTGGACTTCTAACAGGCACTACAACCGGCTTTATCATTGGAAAATGCAGCAAGCAGAGCATATGACTTCTAGGATATTCCATTGGAAGTGGATACCCTCGCCAGTCCAACTGAGCTTGGGGAACACCACTTGAGGGCAGGCCAGTGCATAGCCTTACTCAGGACATATCCTGAACAGAAGGATTTTAGATCAGGCCACAGCAAAATCTCAAAACAAAGCCTAGCCTTAGCCAAATGGTTAAAACTTTCTTCAGGACCCAGGCCGGCAACCAATTTTAGTCACTAGTGGTTAGTGAAGTCAAGATAGCAAATGAGTCCCACTAGACCTAATGAGTAACGGAACTCATAGGCCGGTATCCAGAAAAGTGCACACCCCGGAAAGTCGACCCACATGCGCTTTGAAACAGTTATATTTCTCCAAATCATCCAAAAACATCCAAATCAGAACCAATCAAAATAAATGTCTGGTTAAATGGTCAGAGGCAAAAATAGAAATTGCTGGAAAAGCTCAGCAGGACTGGCAGCATCTGTGGAGAGAAATCCGAGCTAACGTTTCGGGTCAAATGACCCTTCCTCAGTTTACTTCAGGGGGTGAAGTTAGATGTAGGTACCATGGGAATGGTCCTGCATAGGTAAGAGACATGGTCAATGCAAGGTCAGGTTGTGTGATGTATAAAGTTCGGTGTAACAATTGTGAACAAACACGAGGACCATACGAAAGCTGCAAACCCACAAACTGTGTGGGAACAATATGTGCACCACTCCTCAACTGCCGATCTGGCTATTCCAGAACCCATGGGTTCTCCATCTCCATCAAGTGTTGAAGATTCCTCGGAATCTAATATGGACACAGCCTCAACATGTTTGTCACCTGAAGAAGAGAATGAATTTCTTCCGAGATTTGTTCTGAAAGTAAGAGGCACGTTACTCACTGCCAATACCACAGGTAGAATGAGAGGCACTTGACCTGGTGCCAAAATGCCCCAGGAGGAGCTACAAGAAAAGAAAAGAACCAGTCTATATCCTCAGACTCAGAGGGGGAGGGATGTAGTGATTATAACAAGGTCAGCCAGGTGGACCCCATAGAATATGTGTTCTCTGATTGGGGCTGTTAATATTGTCAAATCAGGGAGCTCTGGCTGACAAATAAGAACAGGAGTGTCAGAGGTTCTGCTCACTCTGAGAGCTAGCTCTGAGGATGCTGGATCAGTGTTAAGTATTTTCCATGTGACTTGGTGACAGGATACTGGCCTCTGTGGAGTTACTTCAGTGAGCCTCCCAGCCTGCCTCTGGGTTAATGTAAACAGTGGTAGGCTGAGGCCTCAGGCCCACTTGACAGCCTCAGTAGGCTGTAGAGTGAAAAGGTCAATCCATGTGCCCATCCAGGGTGGAAGTAGGAAGGTACTGACTGCCACCCACCTGCCTGATTAAATGCACCCAGTCACCAAACTTGCCATGGAGTAAGAGCATTAAATTCCACCTTCTGAACTCACAAAACAAAACTACCCACAATTCAGTATGATTGGCATAACAATAACAATTTTATTCAGCTCACCCAAGTAAATCAAATAGAAATGAATGCAGGAAATTGGAAAAAAATTTCCTAAAGTGGTGATTGATGAGTCTGAGCATAGAGTGCATTTAGACCACAATATACCTGACTTTAGAGTGCTTGTTACAAGATATAGAAAATATTTTACTTTCCATGGCTTTCCCCTTGATAATTACAAAAAGGGTCTATCAAAATATATTTTGATAGAATACGTACATATTTATACATGATATGAACTAACAAATGCAAATTCATCTCAACCCCTGGCCGTTAGTCGCCTGAAGACAGTACAAAGGAAAGGCAGCTCCAGTTCAGAAAAAGATGAAAAAGTTTTGAAACATTTGTTCTCACCAAGTCTAGCAAGGCAAATTTGTTAGACTGAGTCTAAATGGATGTGAAATTTCAAAGAGACCTTCTGGTCATTCAGCATTTCTCAGCAGTCGCAGATTGAGGGACTGCATATTCACAGTGGAGTCCACCTGATTTTGGACTTTGCACTTGACCTATGTGGTATCTACCATCCAAACGGTAAAGACAAAACTCCAACTCTGTGCTTCTGTCAGCACTGGTGGAAGGACTGACTGCAGCAGAATTCTCTCTTATCTGTAATATCTAGATGTAGGACTGATTGAAAAAATATTGTAAAACAATTCTAGCACAACACATTTTTATTAAAGAATAAATGATTATAAGAAGACACCTGGGGCTCTTCATGTTGTCGATAAAAATAAAGTGCTCTCACATTGCTTGCCTGCAGCCCAGAAGCACTCATAAAGTCTTGATGCTCTTTGCTGTGCATCAATGCAGAATGACTCAAAGCACGTAAAAGTAGTTATTACTGTAGAAAAGTCATCAAATGCATTATGTTTAAAGACCAGCATGAGTGGGAAAGGAGATTTATCTATTGCTGCAATCTATAAACAATTGTTGATTTGAAATCTAGCAGGAGATCAAAGTGTGAAAAATTGAATAACAACCTATTTGTTGCATTTATGCTGGACAATAAAAAAAGTACTTTCTAGTGTTTTATAAGTTGCAGGCAAAACAACAGTGAGGTGATTGGCACTTACCATTTACTTCATTTACTTTCAAGTGAAACAACTTCAGATAAAGGTGGATGCACAACTGAAATAAAAGTTTCTATGGGAGATGAGCAGCTTTGCTGTCAGCTTCACAGTAACAGTATCACACTGTTTAGTTTATTATAGAAATATACAGACTGACTGACATGCAGCTGTTAGATTTGGGTGGTGAGTACAAACTAAACTTTTCACAAAAGGGTAAGTCTCATTTATTTCAGTTGAAGTATTATTTTCATGATCTGATAAGTGTTCAGTGTTCAGTGAAAATTAACCTCTCTAGCATGGAAAATTAACTGTTGTAAGTATGAAGTATCAGTTGGCAAGTCTTAATTATTTTGGAGATTTGAAAATAGCAAAAGTAAATGTTATTTTTCCACTGTGCCTTTCTCTCCTTCTGTGTCTAGATTTTCCTTTCCCTCTTTATTTATTGTTCTATACCTACTTTGGTAGCAGTTCAAAGGGCAGAGAGAGACAAGAGTTCCTACAATGTGTTCAGGAGTACTTTCTACAGCAGTATGTTTCCAGTACAAGGAGAAAGAAAGTATTGCTAGACTAGGTTCTTGGAAATGGGGTGGACTAAGTAGATCAAGTGACAGCGATCATTGCAGTGTAAGGTTTAGGATTACTGTAGAAAAGGAGAATGACCAATCAAGAGGAAGAATAATTAATTGTGGGAATATCAATTTTAATAGGGTAGGAGTGTGACAGAGGAGGAAACTGTCACTAGAAGCGTTCAAAATTGCTAAGGAAGAAGTGTTGGATAGGCAGTTGGAACTTAAAGTTGACAAAGCACGAGAACCAGACGAGATGCAACCAAAGATATTGAAGGAAGTGAGAGTGGAAACTGTAGAGGCACTACTAGCTATTAACTTTCAGTTTTCTCCAGACTCAGGGAAGGTACCAAAAGACTGGAGAATTGCAATCATTACAGCCTTGTTTAAGAAAGGTTGTAAGGATAAGCCGAGCAATTACAGAGCAGTCTGTTTAATATAGTGCTGGGGAAGCTTCTAGAAACAATTATTCAAAATTGAGTGAAAGTCACATGAAAAAAAAGGGGTTGATTCAGAAGAATTAGCATTGATTTATGAAATGGAAATCATGCTTGACAAACTTGTTGGAATTTTTTGAGGAGGTAACAGAAAGGCTTGATGAGGATGACAATGTTGATATGGTGTACATGAACCTCCAGAAGGCATGTGAACAGTGTCACACAACACTTGTGAAAAATGTTACAGGTCATGGAATACAAGAGTCGGTAGCAACATGAATACAAAATTGGCTGAGTGGTAAGAAACACAGAGTTATGGTCAATGGATATTTTTAAAGCTGGAGAAAGGTTTGTATTGGAATTCCCCGGACGTTTGTTTGGGACCCTTGCTTTTCCTGCAATCTATTAAATGTTTGCAGTAGTGAAACAATGGGTTACATTCGAAGAAAAGTTATTTTGGGCACAGTCAATATATATTCCATCAAAACGGAAAAGTAGGGCACACAAATCCTTAGCTCCCTGGATAACAAAACAAGTAAAGGTTACGATAGAAAAGGAAATATGTGCTTATGACAGGTGTCAAGCAAAAAATACCTTTGAGAACCAGGTGGCAAATAGATTTTTTTTTGAGATGTCGTGAGGAAACAAATAAGAGAAGAAAAGAAGGAGCATGAAAAGTGACTGGTAGCTAACATAAAAGGGAATTCCAAAATCTTATATAGATATGTAAGTAGTAAAGGGGTAATAAAAGTAGGAATAGGGTTGACTAGGAACCAAAAGGGAATAGCTTTCTCTAAGTCATTCTTGGACTGTAATAAATCCAACAAAAACTGTCTCAAATGAATTCAGATTTCAAAATTCCATTGTCACAGTTTTCACTAATCTGTTGAGATCATTAGAATTATACATGGTTGCTGAACTCTTCTGTTAAATCTTGTCTCTTTCAAGGATTTGAATTGTTCTCAGATTAAATTGGCCAAAGCTTTTAGAACTTCAACGTTATCTGTACCTTCTTTTATGTTTTGATGAACTATAAGCTGTAGGCTCTGTTGAATATCATAGTATATTACCTTGTTAAGTTGTGATTTAGTGTGTAGCTTGGAAGCAACTCTATACCTTTGGAATTGTTTTCTCCAAGATATGCAACTGTGTTCTATTTGGTTCATCTCAAAAATTTTAGCATTATTTTTCCTGCCATTGTTTCCTAATGTGATTATTTATTCAGGTAACGTTATTCTCTTTGAACGCGTTCAATAGTACAGTCTATCCATATTGCATTATCTCTTTGCTGGTCCTTCTTTTAAAACTTTACATTTTGTAATATAGCAATATGGTGTCTCAGTACTGCTTATTTTGGGTTTGCCTGCAATTTTATGGTCCAAATTGAGGGTTCCTATCTCTGTCAACAAAATGGTGGTTTTCCACCTTATCATGGAAAAGTGGATGGTTTTATGGCCTCTCAAGGCTGACTAAGCAGTCCCCATCCTTTCCCACAACTTTCTCAAAGCAAGATTAGAGCCTTCATTCTTAATAATCTACTGCCGCCTAAATCATCATCTAAATTATGGATATCCCACTGTTATCATGGCTTCAATAGTCTTTTTACTATTTTTTCCTGCTAGACATTGCTTGTTTAGGCGTTTATATTTTGTAACATTAACAATGTTGCAACCACAGTTTAAATTACTTATATGGATTTCAATATTCTAACTGTAGCTATGCCTCATGCTGTTTGCTTACTACTGTGAGAATACTTGTTATGAGTTGTGTGTGTTTCTTTTTAACTTGTAGACTTCTCAGCCTGTTCTGAATTGTTAATTTGAAGATTTCCTCTTATCCAACAGGGACCTTTGCCTTTACTTATGGAGCTCCAAAGACTCTTTGCTTCCTCGCTTCCTATGAATAGCTCTGAAAGCAGTGAAGTTTTTAAAGCTGTAAACATCCAGTACTGCTCTTGGATTCATTGGAATTCTCAGATCTTGATCCACTGGAATTCTCACCATTATTACCTTGTTGTATGGTACAGGTGAATCGAATTCCAACCTACAGCAATCATCACCATGTGTGGGATGGCAACCATGACCAGATTGTGATTGGGGTGGTTTGCAGTCACCAAGTGACTCTTAACAATAAGACACTGTTTTTTTAAACAAGACACAGTTTGCTGTAAGTTAACAATTGCGTACGGTGGCTCAGTGGTTAGCACTGCTGCCTCACAGTGCCAGGGACATGGGTTCAATTCTGCCCTTGGGCGACTGTCTGTGTGGAATTTGCACATTCTCCCCGTGTCTGCATGGGTTTCCTCTGGGTGCTCCGGTATCCTCCCACAGTCCAAAGATGTGCAGGCTAGGTGAATTTGCCATGCTAAATAGCCCATAGTGTCCAGGGATGTTTAGGTTAGGTGGGTTAGATATGGGGAATGGATCTAGATGGGATGCACTTTGGATGGGCGGTGTGGACTTGTTGGGCCAAACGGCCTGTTTCCACACTGTAGGGATTCCATGAAGTTACATTAGTCAAGAAAGGTATCCAGAGAGCCGATAAGCTTCAGGTGAACCCCATTGTTACTAAGACCATGGAAGACCAACGGAAATAGGTCCTAAGCTGTTGTGCTTTATCCCAATCCAATACCGCACACCAATCAGGTTTAGTGAAGTTTAATGCAGTCTCCAACATCAACCCGTTCAGAACCATTACCATATACAATGGATAATTATTCAAAAAGGGAGTGTGCAAGGTTATATGAGAAAACATGAGAATGACACTAGGTCAAAAAGCCCATTTGTACAGCTGGTGCAGATATACTGCGTTGAATCATCCAATTTGCAAATGGATATGGATAGTTTAGGTGAATGGGCCAAACTTTGGCAGATGAAATTTAACATGGATAAGTGTGAGATTATCCATTTTGACTAGAAGAATAGAGAGGCAACTTTTCTAAACAGGAAGAAACTTAAGAGTGCTTCAGTGCAGAAGGATCTGGGTGTCCTTATATACAGATTTCAGAAAGCTAGTCCGCAGGTAATAAGGAAGGCAAATGGAATTTTGACACTTATTGCTAAAGGAATAGAGTATAAAGGTAGGGAAATGTTGCTGCAACTGTACAAAGCATTGAGATCACACCTGGAGTATTGCGTAGAATTTTGCTTCCCTTACTTGAGATGGGATGTAATTGTATCGGACGCAGTTCTGAGGAAGTTCACATTTTCAGAAATGAGGGGTTTCTCTAATGAAGAGCAATTGCACAGTTTATGCCTAAATCTCTGGAGTTTAGAAGAATGATAGGAAATCTCATTGAGATATATAAGACATTAAAGGGGTTTGACAAAGTAGATGTTGAAAGAATGTTTTCTCCTGTGGGCCAAACTATCACGAGAGGTCATAGTTTTAGGGTAGCAGATTTGAAACAGAAATGAAGAAAAATTATTTCTCTCAAATGGTCATAAATCTGTGGAATTCACTATCCCAGAATTCAATGGATCCTGGCACACTGAGTAAATTTAAAGAGGAGATAAGATTTTTCATTAGTGATGGGTTGAAGGGTTATGGAGAGTGGGCTGGAAAGTGGAGTTGAGGCCGAGATGCGATCAGCCATGATCGCATCAAATAGCTGAGCAGGCTCAATTGCCTACTTCTGCTCCTTGTTCTTATGTTCTGTGCTGTAATGGTTTTATGATTCTGTGAAAAACGGGAAAGGCTCATCAGCCTGAATAATCTACTCATTTTCCTACCTTCCTATGTACAACATAGGATCCTGAATTGCACATTATAAATGGGGTTCACCTGAAGCTTATCGGCTCTCTGGATACCTTTCTTGATCATAACTATTCTTAACACAAAATTTGTTGAACACAGTGCTATATTAGATAACAGTTATTCAGGGTCTATTGTGGATCAGTTGATTGTACTATTCCCTCTGAGTCAGATGATTATCAGTTCACGTCCTGTTCCTGAGTTTAAGCACAAACATCTAGCCTAACAGTGCAATACTGAGAAGACGCTGCCTTTTGGATGGAATGTTAATTTGAAGATCTGGTGAATGTAAAAGATGAATTGGCCAATACTTATCCTTTATGCAACATAACAGAAAATAACATTATTATTTGTCAGATAACAAAGTGTAGAGCTGGATGAACCAAGCAGCATCATAGGAGCAGGAAGGCTGACGTTTCGGGCCTAGACCCTTCTTCAGAAATGGGAGAGGGGAAGGGGGCTCTGAAATAAA